TCCACAGATTCCATATCCCATATGGCCTTTCGTCCTTCTTCGAGAGGGGCGTACCGACTAGTAAATTCATGCTCAAAGTGAGTCTAGGAAGATAGTTCTGGGTCTTGTTCTTCTCCTCGGAGCCCATCCATTGCGCGTTGATACTATACGGCTATTGGACTGACCTGATTCCCTTTTGTCCTACCCAGGACATAGATGATGCGTTCTCGATCATCATCCCAGATTCTTGGGTTTCATTCAAAGTAGTCTACACATTGGGTTAACCAATGGTAAACGTATTGACTAGTCTTTGCTTCAAAAAATGGGGGCGGGTCTGCTGGTCATTTAACCGTTTGAGCTAATGCTTCTGCAAGTACATCACCTGTTCCACTCTATTCAGGGGTTAGTCTCCGTCTGAATCTGGATGGTCCTCCTCCACGTTTTCCTCTGTTTCCATCGTCATCTCCATCATCACTCCCATCGTCCAGGTCACTGCCCGGTATTAAAGAAATCGGAGGTTCTCCTTCTCTCTATTTCCCTTTGTCTCGAGGAGGGATTTCCTCAGGTTCTCCCCATTCTGCAGTCTCTTCCCATTCTTCTGGGACTGATTTCAACATAGCGTGCCGACCACCTAGTTGTCCACTATTTAGTACCTTAAGCTTGTTAAGAACTAGTGATAGGATATCGGATATGTGGGCTTGATCCTTCTGGATGGTGCGGGTAAAGTCGCTATACCGTTCTGAGTCCCTTTCTTGCCGTGTTGCCAAATCGGATATCAAGGTTTGCATTGCAGTATTTTGTTGGGTCTGTTGTGCTCTGAACTCTTGGAAAGCGCGTTCCAGGGTAAGGTCTCGTTCTCGAGCTTCTCACTGCAGTTGGGTGGTTACCCCTTCGTGATGCTTTTGTCGTGCATCATGTGCTGCCAATTTGGCAGCAATCTTCCTATTAATCCTTTCTTAGATCTCTCGGACATTCTCTTCTACCATTGTACACTGACGTAACATAATAGCAATGTCATTATCATGTATATCTTGTCCTTCCAACAATCATTGCTGGACTGCTATCAGCCCTCGTGCATTGGCTTGAGAATCTGCTGATAGGGTGTTAAAGGCAATATTGGCAGTATCAATATTGGTTGATATATCTTGTTGGATTTGACCTATGACAATTCCTACCCTAGTGGTAAGTCTTGCGAGATCTGCTGCATGGGTATTTGGACGTGGTGTAGTAGATCGTGAAGTGGGAGAAGGGGCTCTTGAGGATGGAGGGACACTGTGAGCCCTGCCTTCTTGTCCTCCAATAGGTTTCTGAAGAGTGGGAGGGAGAGAGGAAGAATAACTGAAACTTGTAGAGTTATCATCTCCCGAGGTATCCATTGGTTCTCCTGGAAGGATCTGTATAGGAGGTTGAGCCATCTCCCTTACTCGTTTGCGAGCTTCTTTTTCTCGTAAGTAGGCTATGAAGCCTGCATTCAGGGAGGTTTCTATTTAAGTAGAATATGCAGCGGGATACTTGGTGTCCTAGCTGTGTCATGCGGTAGGAGGAAATAGGTTTTAATGGGAGTTCGGCTGAGTTCTGAGTCTCCACGCTAGAGGTATAGTAGCAGAGAACCTGCTACTAAGAGAGCTTTCCCCACGGGTATCCCAGTCAAGGAAGGGTTTCCAACTAAATTCTAGTCGGTACCAGGTTTCGTATATTCTTTGAAATTGTTCCTCTGTAGGAACTAAGTTGGGGTCGGTATACCACGAAGGAGCTTCTTGTAACAGAAATGGTACTTCTAAAAGCTCAAACTGACTAGAAAACACTAAACCGATAGATGGCAAGTGTACCTTAGTCGGTGGTTCAAAAATTGAATTGGTTCGGGATAGTTCTTCAAGGGTATCTAGGCCAACCATAATATCAATGACTTCACTGAAAGTGTGAATCGAACCCATGCAAGTGGTAACCGATTAGAGAGCCTTGGTAACAAGGAGATCTAACAATATACTGTTAGGCAGAGACAACTTGATAGACTTCAAGCTTGTCTAGGCCAATCGAGATTCGTTTCTGTAGACAGAGATTGTCTAGGAAGGCTCGGACTTTACTTATTTTGTTTATGACTACTAGGAGCAAAGTAAAATAGGTAAAGTAGGGTAGAATCGTAAAAACAAATAGTATATTGTTAAGGTCTCTTCTCCATTGCTTGATGATGTCTAAAGCTTGGGAGGCACTTCGATATTTATATTCCGTGTCTGAGTGTTCACGGACTACATCTATTTATCATACAACTATGTACTTCTTCATTCATAATTCGCGACGTCGAGTTTTCTTCTAAGGTGCGAACACCTGTGGACCCTGAAAAACATTACACCCTTTTCGGTAATTACGGTATTTCTTCTTAGGAAACATGCTGTCTCCAATAGTAATATCCCGATTAGCAGAGTCTTTAGACTTATGGCCTAGTTCTTAAGTCGAACTGAGTTGACCCCAATTGTCTTCACCATTGATAGAATGATCAGTTTTATCCACAGCTATATCTGCAAAGGTAGTCGTCATTACAACCATCGTAGGTCGTCTGACTCCAATCCTTTGTAACTCCATACCCAACCCATAGATTTTCTCTGGATAACTTCCTATTAACTCACAGGAAGCTATTCCACCAGATTGGTAATTAATCCCTCAGTTGACAACCCTTGGTTGCTCTCTGGGTAGTAGGTTTCAGTAACCATTGTAGTATTGAGAATCACCCCATGGCTATGACGTGTTCCAAAACCCAGTTGCAACACTCCGTGAAGTTCGTTGGCTTCTTTGGTAGTGTCTTTTGGAGTTCTAGACTCTTTTGGTGGATGTAAATGTATTGGTCTCTAGTAGAGATCCTTTACCATTTGATACCATCTCTTTGTGCGAAATCATCCCATTACTTACAGCCTATACCAAAGGTGTCATGTCTTTGAAGCCAAGTAGGTCTCCTGAGTAGTTGACAGAATCACTCCATTCCACTTCTCAGACCTAGCCGAAGGTCTCCTCTCATATATCTTGTGAACAGGATCCGGTCGGTCAGACGGCGACAACGTATATAGTATTATTCTAACACCTTCAATTCTGTGGTAATATAGTCACAGGACGCAACTGAGATTGATATATATGATGACGCACAGGCCCCGTAAGGGAGCCGAAGGGGGGTGTTGGAGACCAGAGATTCTGATTCTGAGTGGGGTTACTCTACTTAGGGTGGTTCCTAAGTATCGGGTTCTGGTATTCCTAATACTTCTATCGGGAACACCTATCGTAGGCTTTCTCTAACTCTTCTTCATAAAGAACTTTCCTTGGCATAACGATAACGTTGCAATAAAGATAAAGATCATAAAGGTCTTTTATATTCGTTAAAGTAATAAGTAGGAAAAGTACTTAGAACAAAGCATGAAGAACCTATTCTCCTTAGCCCCATCGGCCTTCTTATATAGTATTCTTCCCGCCCTGAGTCATGTGACCCAAGTGGTCACATGTGCGAAATCAAATCATAAAAAACTAGTCATGTGACCACAGTTGTCACATGCTCAAAACCCATGACCTCATAACGAGGTCATGTGCAAAACTCATAAACCAATCATAACGCAATAAATAAGTCATATGACTCGACTGAGTCATATGCGTGAAATCCATGACCTCATAACGAGGTCATATGCAAAACATAAATTATATGCACTAGGCCTACCCATAAGGCACACTCGCAAGGCATACTTCTCAGGCGCACTCCCATGACTCATATTTGAGCCATGTGCGAAAGCATCACAAATCCCACACATAACAAATCATATGACTCGAATGAGTCATATGTGTGAAACAATAACATACCTGTGACTCATAACCATGTGTCATGTGAAAACCCTTTCCTCACCAAGCCATATTTGTAATAATAACATGGAAAGCAGACGAGGAATACTATGCTGATTGCATCGATGAAACTTTTGAGTCTAGATGCCAAACGGAAATGATTTGAGAGGGTTTCTGTAGTATGATGAAGTCAAAGTTAGTCTTTATTCCCTGTAAAGCTAAAGTTGACTCTGCCTTATATGTGAGGACCATTATGCATTCTCACCTTATTCCATTCTGGCATCGTTGTTGTGAGGCCTATGGGTGGATAACTGTGATTGAGGATGGCACACCTGGTCACAAAGGTAAAGCTATCCAATTCAGAAACCTGAAGGAGATGGAAACAACACAATGGCCGGCACAATCACCTAACCACAACCTAATTGAAGCGCTGTGGTTAGATATGGAAAACGAATTGGGGGAAACTTGGAGAAGAATTGGAAATATTGCAACTTTTGAAAGGGCATTGAACACTATTTGGGATGCTATCCCAAATGAGTGTCTGGAGAGCCTAATTAGAGGCATGCCACAGCAGCTTCAGGCCGTTATTGATGCTGAAGGAGGAGCAACATGATATTGAACTTTTTTTTTTTTTTTGTATTTAGAAATGACATATAAACACCATCATTGATTATCACACATCCTATTCCAATAGTTTTAGTTGCTGTAAAACTGCCTCATCCATATCCAGAAGTGCTCCTGACTTTTTGCTGACACCAAATTGCACTCACCAGATATCACTCAAATTTCCTTATCTGGTTTAGTCCACATATAAATGCCACATCTCTATTTGGAAGTGCGCCCGATCTGTGTCGACCCCCTAGTACAAGTACGAGTACTAGTACAAGGGCCAGAGATGTTTTTGTACAGGTACGGGACAAGGATTATTTGGCGGGTTAACTTAAATTAACTGCGAAAACATTATCCATGGCACTTGTACCTCCGTATGGGCCTGTTTGGTTCATAGATTTTTTCCATGGGTTCCCATCATTGCAACATGTAAAAAAAAAACCCTAGACGACCTCCAATCCATGGATTTTTTTTTATCCATGCAATACTCCCTGCAATCTATGGGGAAAATAATAGCTTTACAAGCCCCTGGTGGAATTGCTTAAGATGGCCGTGTTTGCCCAAACATTTTCACCATGGTATAGTCCCTAGTACCAACAATGATGTTGCTCAAACTGATCCTTCTCCTGGTAGCATTCGTCTCCACAGCCATCTCATATGGGAACCCTGGCGCATGCTCAAACGCTTGCAACGTCCACGATCCAGCGGTAATACGCCGTGACTCTGACGGAACCTACTTCCGATTCTCTACCGGTAACAAGATCCAAATCGCGACCTCCTCGTCACTTTCTGGACCATGGACTATCAAAGGTAGTGCTCTCTCCATGGGGTCCAAGATCAACCTTGCCGGTAATCAGGATCTTTGGGCCCCGGACGTGACGAAGGTCGGGGATAATTACTATCTCTACTACTCTGTCTCCACCTTCGGTTCTCAGGAGAGCGCTATCGGAGTTGCCACTTCGAAGACTATGGACCCCGGGACCTGGACGGATTATGGGCGTACAGGAGTTGTTAGTCACGCCGGCAGTGCATACAATGCTATTGACGGCAACGTTGTGCTTGCTGGGGATGGCTCTTACTATATGTCCTTTGGGAGTTTCTGGGGCGATATATATAACGTGAATCCTTCCAATCTTTCCTGGAATCACTGTTTCCGCGAAACAAATTTACTGATGAAGTGATTTTACAGGTTCCCATGAACAATCCACCACTCACTGCCTCGGGTAGTTCCACCAGGATTGCGTATAATTCCACCGGATCACATGCCATCGAGGGCTCATTTATATGGTATCGGAGTCCGTACTACTACCTCTTCTTCTCTGCCGGGACCTGCTGTGGATATGATTCCAACCGGCCGGCTCCAGGCATGGAATACAGAATCAATGTCTGCAGATCCACTTCTGTAAATAGAGAATATGTACTCTCCCAATTCCTAAAAATGCGCTCTCTACAATACCGCATGCTGATCATGATAGATAGGTCGATAAGAACGGTGTATCGTGCACTGCCAAAGGGGGAAGCACCGTCCTTGCCTCGCATGATAATGTCTACGGTCCTGGTGGGCAGTGAGTAGATAAGCTCTTACTATTGAGAAAGGGCTAAGTTAATTGTTTAAAAGGGGTGTATTCCTTGATAACGTTTCCGGTGGCGAGGTTCTTTACTACCACTACGGTAAGTCCCATATTCTCACGGGCTACGTGTTGCCTTCGTCCGCATGCTGATTTGGTCCCAGTCGACACTACGATTGGATATGGAGATGGCCAGAAGAGGTTCGGTTGGAATCTTATTAATTGGAGTACCGGCTGGCCTGTGGTTTAGGATGTTATTAGTACATAGCTCACTGGGATAAAATTTAGAAAGAAATCAATCGAAACTACTTTTTGGCACCCCTGTGTGAGGGTCCTGGAGATAGATGCATGTACCCACGGAGCTGGATATTGAATATGGACGGTAATATACCCTTGAGCGGTTAAAACGTCCAGTGAAGTGAGCTGTGACAAAATGCTGCACCGGCTGTCAATGTCAATGCGTGAACACCCTCTCACGCATTATCACTCGGGCACGTTCAGGTATGATAAAGTTTTGGGAGTTGTTAGGTAAAGCCTGATCAACTCATGAGTCCTCCTATCATACATGTCTATTAGGGTTCGCAATATTAGTGTCATGAGGAGAAAAAATAAATAAGACAGAAAAGCTTCCCCCGGTCGTTGTGCCCTCTTACCGGGAAGAGCTTCTTCATCTAGTACGATAATAGGCTCATATTAAAAATTGTGTGATATAATGAGAGGATTTTAAGTCATCCATTCTAAGAGAGAAAACAATCCCTTTCTACCTACACGTATACCGATCCTACTTAATACTTCCAACAGGCCAAAAGCGCTCTGTGCCAACTTCCCTCTCAAGAAAGAAAAAAAAGAGAAAATTTAAACTGGTTTGCCAGGGCACAATTAACTCACTTATCAAGTGCACAATCTCTATAAAATTGCCCTTCCAGACGCCTTCTTATCAACAGCGATTACATTCCAAACGTCTACAAATGCATAACCGATATGCTCTGGATGTAAATTGTACACAAATGGGCATTATAAAACATGCCAAGGATGCCGCGATAAAAACTGAGACTATCCGCAAAAAGAGAGCTCCGCAAGATTACTCCCATTGGCATGGGTTAGATTTTTATTGCTGTTTTGAAGGGTGGATTATTAATTGATGGCGCGAAGTGTTGGACGGTCTATGGGCGCTATCGTGGGGTTTGCCGATACCCATATCAGTTGGTATTAATAAAATATAAGACTAGAGTAAGCTAGAGGCTTTGTGGGGTGTCTTGGTTTTGTTATTGGGGGGGGGGGATGTGGTGTGCGCGCCGTAAGAGTTGGGATAATTGAACCTCGCGCTGAAGTGTCCTGGGTTTCACTCTTTGGATAAAGGAGCGAATCGCCACGGAAAAAGGGACTTCCGGCCCACAGCTAGGACAGATGAAAGGGGATATATCAGACGTTACTAGGAGACAAAACTACAATTTCATAGAGTGAAGTTCGATTATTCTAGTTCTTACGGTCGATTATGGCAGGTATCATACTCTATATTGCTGAGATCTAGGCCACTGGTTACGGGAATTTCTACAAGCCTCCCTGTCTAATTGATCCGGATTCGCCTTCTCAGCGACTCGCTTTCTCTTCACAAGATCATACACTCCGTCTCCTTAACGTATGTATGATACAGAAAATTCTTCGTATCCATGATTATCCGCAATGGAACCGCCTACGCCGGCTCCGAAAGGCCAATCTCAACGTCGAACGTGATTTTCTTCCCATGGGACTGATTCTCAAAAGGGGGGTCAAACGGGATTATGGGACTCGTGAGTTCTTATATCTCGTCTTCCGGTCAACACTCTACGACTTCCACCACGCGTGGTCCACACTAGTGCGGTGAAGGTAGGATATTGCTAGGACTAGCATAGATGTCCCGCATCTGACCAACTTCCACACTGATGGATATGCGACCTCCTGCGTGGAAGGGACACTTGTTGATGAGGAAACCGTTCTCTTTAACGCCTGCTTGGATTCTAAAGTCATGTCAGCCAAATTTCTTCTCGCAGTGCGGGAGGTACCGGAGCTCTTTTGTGAGCTTTAGAGGTAGTATAAAGCACACGAAGCCCCTGCGGAGATTTTTGAATTTTTTGGCAATCCACCCCAATGGCCGGGGCGGGGTGGCTGCTAAAGCCTGTGCCGCCCTAGATTTTGGCAAAGGGGTTTGAAGTCGCCTTTATGTACGGCCCGTCGCCGCCGAAGCCGGTTTCGGGGCACCGGATGGGAGTGTTGACGAAGGCGGACTGTGAGGTAGAGTCAAGAGTTGAGTCACAGTAGCTTCAACTTCCATTTGGTATATTGATGGGGGCGGAGGGGGAGTTGGAGAGCGCAATTGCGGCTGTACCACGACAACCACATTCCTCTCTCAGAGCTTTCTCATTGAACCAAAGGAGGTATCGAATGGATTGATTGCGCGGGGGACATTATTGGGGGTGAGAGTGTTATATGTAGGGTATGCAAGCATTTCACTGCATCAATGTATCCTGTTTTCTTATGGTTTGGTAATAGACACCTGTTTCACATTATTAGCCTCCCAATTCAAGAGTTATTGATTGTATAGAGGGTTTGAAACCTACCATTCCCGCCGGACAAGCGGATCTTCACGCTTCTTATCGCGAGTGGGATGAAACCTCTCATCAGAAGAACCCACAACACGACATCGGGGGTTAATAGGTAGTAGGAAATCAAAAAGTCGAGATAGTTGCGTTTTTGGAAAATAAGATTTGTTCCAAGAGAGAAACCGTCCTATGACCAAAGGAGGGGAAATTGAAGAGGCTTTTATGACTCCCAAGTCGAATTTTGCACTGTAGCCCTGCAAACATGTAAAGCCCCCCGAAATCCACCGTTGTTGGCGCTCTTTTTTGCCCCGGCCGTTATTAGACTTGCTGAGAGTAATGTAGTGCGAGTCCGTGGTGGGTCAGGAATCCCCATTCGTGGATACTGGCGGAAAATCGAAGGGAAAACTAAATGGAATTGTAGGTGTCATTGTGGTTATGTTGAATTTCGGTGTAGTCGGAGTATATATAAAGTCCCATGGGAATCCCAAGACGTCTGACCTTGTCCCGTAATAAGTTTTTTATAATACGGATCCGGGTGTGCGGTATGTGATAGACATCCCGAATGCTGACTTCCGGGGATGTTTCCGTCGATAAATCCAGTCCTATCGCGAGCTGACGTGGCTGCTGGGGGGATTAGCCAGGGATATGACTGGGGCTTACCATGCACTATGGAAAAGGCACACTGTCAATATCGCACTTGCACTTATGGTCAGGTAGGGATGCGGAATTGGGAATAATCTCACCAGTGCTAGAACCTGAAATTTTGGTCGAGTGAGCCCAAATGACGTCTGGCACGCTTTCTGTCCAGGGAAACCGCCACAATAGACCATTCATGGGAAAAATACATTCAAATTTTCTTCGTCATTACAAAAGACACTAAAAAAAAATGAAAAAAAAGATAAAAAAAAAAGTCCCTCTCAATTTTTTTCTGAGCCCGCATGAATCAACTTTTTCCAACTCTCGCCCCCAATTTTGTCTGAGAAATCTCTAATATCCTCCACCAAGACGTCTGGGGTCTCGAGAGATGCAAAGTGTCCACCTTTCGTGTGCTCACGCCAGAATACGATGTTGGCTGCAACACGGCATTTGGCCCATCCGGGTGTGCAATATCCCACATCTGCAGGTCATTAGCAGAGGGCCATGAATGAATTGGGGGAATGGGGGAAATATGGACCTTTGGGGAAGAATGAGGCGCCAAAGCACACTTCTGAAGGTATTACCCTCTTGAGGATGTTCGCCTTGACGTCTGCGATACCCTCTTTATAGAGATTGGCGAATGCGCTGTTTCCGGGGAGGATGTACATCTAGATACCAATCTAAGAAAAGCCCATTGAAACGAGGGGCAAGATACTAACCATGCAAAGGGTAATAACCTCCTCCTCCGTCCACTCATATTCATCTACCAAGGAATCAATCTTATCCCTAATCCAAGCGGCGAACCCAAGGGGCGAATCCACTAGCGCAAAGGCAATGGTCATCGGCTTTGTGCTCATAATTTCCGCATACCCGCCTTCCTCCTTCTTCCACCAAATCATCCGATCAATCATCTCCTTCTGATAAGGCGTCATCCACCGGGTTGCAAGATAGAACAGTTCAAGAGGGTTTTTGAGAGCCAAAGGGGGCAGCGCGATAACAAAGTTTAAATGCACTCCCAGACATGCTTTCGGATGATCCGCTGCGAGGTAGCGACAAATAAGTGATCCCCAGTCCCCGCCTTGCGAAACGTAGTGGTCATAGCCAAGTATCATCATCAGCTTATGAAAAACCCCGGCGATTTTCTCAGGTCCGAAGTTCTTAGTCTTTGGCGCACTCGAGAAGCCAATTCCGGGCAGAGAAGGAGCGACAACGTGAAAAGCTTGCGCTTTCTCGGTGGGAGGGTGCGTGAGAGGAGTTAAAATCCTTTCGACTTCCAAGAAAGAGCCGGGCCATCCATGGACGAATATGAGGGGGATAGCGTCCGGTTGCGGAGACCTATGGTGGACGAAATGAATATTGAGATCCTCACCCTCGTGTAATATGGGGACGGTGAATTGCTTTAGTGAGCTATTAAGCCGGGCCTCAACTGCCCGCCAATTGTACCTATTATTCCAGTGGTCTTGCAGCGCTGTCATAGTTTCGTGAGAGACACCGTAGGTCGAGGCCTTGCCATCCGGGTGCGCAATCGGCGGGGGCAGCCGGGCGGTTCGAACCCTATCATGGATAAATCCCAGAAGCGAATCCGGAACATGGATCTCGAACGGAGTCGGTGTTGGTCCGGGCATTTTGGCGATTGTGTTTTTTTTTTTTTTTTCTGCACCTGAATGAAGAGTGAGGACGCCTCGAAAAGCCGGTTGGAATATGGGGCAATTCGCTTGCTTTAAAGTACCCGCGGTAGTGAGGGGTTAACCGATGGATGGGAAAAATGTATGATGAGTGGAAGCCGAACCACACCTATCGTAGTCGCTTTCTGAGAGGAAATTTTAGCAAAGGCGGTTCGTTATGGGTGTGAGAGAAAGTATGAGGCTGCCAGAAAAAAGAGGAAAATCAGATGTCAATAAAGTATTATGCAGCATGCGACTTGTGATAGGCTGAACGGAAGACGGTTAGGATGTTTGGAGAAAAGTGCTTGACCTATGGTTTTTGTGGTGGTACAGTACAGTACATGATTTTATGGAAGGATGCGGAAGCATTTCATTGGTCCAATACCCCGCTGGATCGCCCCAGCCTTTTCAGGTTCCGTGATTAACGATGGGAGTGAATTTAGAGTTTTCAGCTCCCCGGTTTTATTCTAATATTATTCACAAGAATGAGGTCAGCACGACTGCGGACTACATTGGAGGTAAGTTAGAGTCTGCATCTATCAGCTCAACTTAGGTATATCCACTAACTGAAGGCGGAAGATGTATAACACTGTAGGTGGGTCTAATTATCGAGGATAGGGCCGGTAGTAGCAATAACTCCCCTTCTGCTGGTTCCCTAAATTAGCTCTTGAACCTCCTCCTCTAAAGAAAGCTATTTCTTTATCTGATAGACTCTAGACTACAATTTAATAATTAAAAGGTTGCGACTATGGTTTTGGGGAGAACGAAGGCGGGTATATCCAGCCAGTAGCTGCGGTAATAAATAATGAATTTAAAAACAACCGGTATGATAGTTTCTAATCTCTCCGAAATCCCACTGGTCAATGTTATGTTTCTGGGGACCACCATTCAATATATTCCTTAATCTTGCTCGGGGTATATGGTTCACCGATATATACTAGAGTCAGTTCTGACTAAAAATTCTGAGGAAACTACCACAACGGTTATGATCGACGGGGAGAACAACGGGAGATTAAAAATCCTAAAAATTTTGAAGGAGAAGGAAAACAAGTACTTTGGATTTCCGGCTCCTCCCATTTAAGGGAGTAAATTTTGGGACATTATCACCCAGATATGTTGCTCTGTTTTGGGAAATTGTTCGGTGGGTCTATTACCGCTTTAGCCACCTGAAAACTACAGACACATTGGTTAAATTTTTTCTGAGCTTATATAATTTCTCGGAATCGTGAACTATGACCCTTTGATCGGTATCCAGAGTTTGTCCGGAATACTGTGACTCTCGGAGGAGGAGAACGATAGGAAGTAGCCCTAATATTCCAAAGGCAGTTGATCCATTCACTGTGAGTTTATACTTGTCCCAGACCAGAAGTACCCGAAAACAGGGGGGTAAATGCAGTTGGCGACAAGGGGGTTAGCAGGGGGTTAGCTGGGGAGTAATACAAGCCAAGAGGCATATTGTGAAGCTGCCAATTAGAGTATACGGAGATGAAAGCGATATATATAAAAATTTAATAAATACAAATAGTAGATTTAAAAAAAAAAAAAAAAAAAAAGAGACAAGCCTCATAGTGTCTTGTGAGCTACCACTGTGTGTGTGCTCCATTAGCAGCCATAACAGCCTAAATGTGGTCAGGTATACTATCAATAATGTGAAGCAGGTATCACAATCAGAATTGATTCTATTCTAATCTTTCAATATATGATATCTCATATGCAACTTTTAAAATTGTCTTTTCTAGTTGCCTGTTCTAGCTATGGAAATCTGACAGTGAGACTATTTGAAATGTTTATTTAATTTGAGATTTATAATTATTATTATTATTTAGACTGAGGTATATAAAAGTATAGAGGAAAAAAACTAAGGCACTGTTCGGCAAGCAAGAAAAATGTCATTTTTCTCACTTTTATGCCATTTTTCCACTTTTTTTTTTTTAAAAAAAGAGATGCCTGTTTGGCATACCTATAAAAATAGTGTTTTTTTAAATAGAGTTGCCTTTTTTTTTTATAGCATTTTTTTTGTAAAATAAGTAGGGGATTAGGGTATAATAAAAATATGAAAATAAAATTAATGAAATAACTAATACAATCTTTATGAGAGTGATAATAATTCAAGTGAATATCTCAATAAGAGTTTTCAAAATATTCTGATTAATTGAGATGCAATTTGCAAACGAATATCAACACCTATGCACGATGAATTCTACCAATAATTTGATACAAACCAACCACGACAAATCTCAGCATTTCAAACTTGATGGAGGTTTATTACTCCAGGTAGCAATGACCGCAATCAGAATTAAGCAAAGCTACAAGCGTGTGTATAGTGAGAACATTTTATAAAAGCAGTCATTTTGACAATACAGGGTGCCTGGCTTTAGGTTTAAATAATTTATACCCATTATTTAGGATGTATTTTACTTACATATATCAGCTGGAAAAAAAAGAGAAACTATTGTTAAACACTATTTTTTCTAAAAAATGCCATTTTTTTAAAATGGCTTTAAAACTATTTTCAGAAAAAACACTATTTTTTTTTTATAACTGCGTGCTGAACAGGGCCTAACTTAAATAGGATATGAACTAGAATTAAATATTAGATCCTGGAAATCAGAATTTATACTTGAATACACCTCAGGCTAACTATATAAGATATTACATTTTGAATCTCCAGTGGTGTGAGATACGTTCTATGTGTTCAGTATCATCTTATCTAACTTTGGAGTTCAAATCTACTATTTAGTTAAATAACTAATATTACCATTTATTTAGGCATATCCTGGTTTTTATAGGAGATTTTTTTAATGAAAACATACTTCTTGCCTATTATGATGGAAAATACATTTTTTTTCCCATTTGTGTTTTACTGTTTATTGTTAAATAAAGTATCTAAGAATAAAAAAAAAACTCCTTCTTCAAAATATTTAGAATAGGAATGAAAAAGCTATTTGGTAAAATGTTCCTTCAAGTAAAAGTAATTTACAGGTAAGAAAAAAATGAAACATTAAGATTCAGGATTGATAATAAAATTATAGTTATCAAGACTGTATTTCAGGTTGCTAGAAGAGTTAAGTTATTTTTACATATTATTTATAATAAAATAGCATGGTAAAGACTCGCATATATTGGTTACAGCTGATAATAAGACATCTTTCAGTTAATCTATAACTGAATAAATAAATTGAAAAATAGAATTAGCCTACTTATTGAATAATTTTGAGCCTAATAGAGTTTTAATATATATTGATCCAAGATAAAAAATAACTATAATTATAAAAGTAGTAATATATATAGCTTTTAGAGATTTACTATTACTAATATTTGATAAACATGCCTCTTATATTATGATAATTGGCAATTCCTTGACTACAATACTATCTTAAGTATAATATCATTCCAGTCTTTCAACTCTTCACTCAATATACTTTGAGTCTAACTTATTAATTAGCCTTGATTTATGGACCTGAGAAATAATATCAAGAGTTAAAAACATTCAAAACTTCCTTGAGGTTACTGGGGCATGGCTATTTAGCTCCTAGTATATCCTCAATATTATGAATGAGAAGGAAGCAGTTATTCATCTCTTATCACTTACTCAAATATTTATTACTTGTATACCTCTTACCAGCATACCTAATATTCCTTATTATAGCAAATCACTTGCCAGTACCTTCCTTATTATATACTAGGTATACTATCCCCCCTCTTCAAACCAATTCACTCTCAATCTCCTATGAAAAATTAATGGTTGAGAGATAAGGACAAGTTTCAGAACATACTATTGCAAAAAAATATTATTTTCTATAAAGAGCTTAATACACTACTAAGTAAGGGAGACTTTCCTGAAAAAGCTGTCAGTGTAGTAAAGACAAATAGCTGCAAGATTCTTTCAAAAGATTCAATAGTTTCTGTTAAGGAAGTTATTCACATATGAGAGATAACAAAAGAGGGTTAGAGAAATTGGTGAAAATAAAGTAGGTAGATGTAAAGAAGAAAAAGTGGAACTAAATCAAAACTACTCAAACTCGAGCTTCAAAGACTATGAAAACTACAGTCTCGGGAGCCGGAACCACCACACTATCACCACTTGTTACTAGAGAGGAAATTTGTATTATCAATAGTGAGGATAGTTTGGAGGAAGAGAGAGAAATGGTGTCACAATAGGGTGGGGTCTGATACCCATGAATACCATTCTACCTCTAGATCGTTGAAAACTACAACACAAACTACTCCGGGTCACCAGTTGAGAATTCAGGTGGAAAAATTGACATTGAGGGGGATGGGTCTACAAGATGGATATTGCGGCCTAGAAATTAGGAGTTTTTAATATTTTTACTTCCTTGATCGTGTTCCCAGTGACCATCACTTTTTGGGTGGAATACGTTACCCTATTTCGTGAACGTTAAACTATAAAAAATTGTTTGAAAGGCCCAACTTATGATAAAAATACTAGAATATTATATCCTGGAATCAGGACAAATTAAGCAACCGATAGGGGCCTGAATACGAAGTTGAAGCACCCTAATTACTCCTACACACAACTAAATACTATGATATGCTGAATACTATAATAATCAAACTAGATTTCCCGGCCCAAGAGACCTCCGGAAAATCATAACCAAATCACTCAAAATAAACGATTATGTCAGCAGCAAATACTCACTTCAGGTTCAACATCCTGATCCCCTTAACCTCCCCGAGCACTTTCATTACCGGCATCCCACCTCTAGTAACCTTGCCCTTGCCCTTCACTTCGGTCCTGAACCTAGCAACGACACCTTCTAGATCCTTAGCGGCACCCGTAACCTCCTCCTCCCACTCCTCTAGCGAATGATAATTCCCCTTTAGATCTTCTGGCTTGATCTCCCGCAGTGCGGCAAGACATTTCTGCATCTCACGCAGTATATGCAGAATCTCAGAAGACCAGATGGTCGCCTGTTCCATCCAGTGCTCGTCAGGTCCTTCTGTCTCCGCTTTTGCCCTTTCGGCCACAGAGGCGTCAGGAGGGAGGAGGCGGATATAGAAGGCTAGGGTCGAGGAGAGGGAGTTGAAATTTTTGAGGGAGCGAATGTAGTAGGTTGGCGAGGTGGTTATTGATTGAAGGTACGTCAGTAGATCCAAAGGGAGGGAAATGGATGGGTTCGTGTGAGTTATGTCTACGTTCGTGGTGGAATGTTGTGAGACGGTGGAGATGGCGGAAGGTGGAGGTCTAATTAAGGGGATACTGTTGGCTGAACCCATGATTGAAATTTGTCCGTGATAGGGTTGAGG